ATATATATATGTCAGTGTGCTTCTGTGTCTGTGTGTGCGCACACATCTGTGTATGTGCATCTGTGTGTCAGGGTGTGTGTTTTTATGTCATTGTGTATATCTGTGTCATGGTGTGGGCATTTATCAATGTTTGTGTGTGTCAGGGTGCATGTGGGTATATGTTGGTGTGTATCTTACATTACATACAAACACAAGCACAATAAATGCATACAAGCACCCCTTCAAACACCAACACTGTACATTACACTATAGCCCCAGTAAATACCGCAGCTCTGTACAGATATTCAACCTAGAAATTTTTACTTGGGGTACCTTGGAAAAATACTATAATATAAAGGGCGCCTTGAACCTAAAAAGTTTGGGAACCACTGAGCTGGACAAAATGTAGGCAACACACACCAAGGTGAAGGGTGCAGCCAATAACGTTTGTCTCACCAAACCAACAGAAAGCATGCCTCCCAACTGTACCAATTTTGGCAGGACAGTCCCAATTTTCAGATCTTTTTCTGCCTTATTTCCCTGGTGTCACACTTTTTGGAACACATGGAAACTGTCCCCAGCAATCATAGCACAAGCACATCATAAGTTACACTCCTGCTATGTTCAGGGCACTAGGACCCTGCAGGGAGCACTGAAACAGTGCTCCGTGCATGTCCTTCAGTGGATAGCCTGAGTGATGGACAGGCAGCCTGGCGTGCATTTACGCCAGACAGCTCTGCCATTAACTTGGGTGGACACAATCATATAACTGGCCTGCACCCTTTATCTCCTTCCAACTGGCTGGATTTGGGAGGTATGAAAAAAAGTAGTCTAGATAACCTCCTTAAAGTGGTCAATAATCATTTATTGAAGGACAAGGTTTGGCAAAGGCTCTTGTTGAGCTGAAATGTTGCCATGAAGAGATGACACCAATACACAAACACAGAAGCTCACTCACTAGCAGATGTGCACACACACAGAAGCTCACTCACTAGCACACACACAAAGTTTACCTGGCACTGGTAGGTGAAGGTGTCATTGTCTGGTCTCTTCATTCCAGCGAGGTCAGCAGCTTCCGTGTGGAGGCTGGCTTGTGTTCGAGAGGTGGCGGGGCATGCGGCCAGAATTGCTGTAAATTGTGCTGGTAGTCTGACAGGTCTCCCTCTGGCTGCCAGTAGAGTAATTGCAGCCGCACCAGCCCCAAGCTTTTCTTCCCTCGGACTGACACAGGCTGGCACAGTCCAAGGGGAAAATCATTTAAATGACATGTGCCCAATAATTAGGGCTGTCGCGGCCCGCTAGGAAACTTCCCGGTGGGCCAGTCCAGCCCTGATAATCTTAAAATGTAGTGGCGGACTATACTTTTTGTTTATGCCGCTGGCACTTCATCTCTGAATTAGATAAAGGGTTAATCTCTACAATTAGAATTAAAAGTGCATTTCATTTTAAGGTCAAGCTAGCTAAAGAGAAAATCCAAGTCAGCCACGCTTACAGTTTGGGTACTTTAGCCTTAAAATTCAAATTTACATTGAATTCTCACTTTAGTTAAAGGGACACTATAGGCATCAAAACAACTTCATATTAATGAAGCCGTGTTGGTGTATACATCATGCCCCTGAAGTTTCTCTGCTCAATTCTCTGCCATTTAGTTAAATAAATTTGTTTCTGTTTATGCAGCCGTGGACCTCCCCTGGCTGTGACTGACACCGCCTGCATGGACAAAATGGTTTCATTTTCATTTAGTTGTTACCTTGCTTTATAAATGTTATTTCCTGTTCCATAAATGTAAGGCTCTTGTAGGGTCTAGAAGGTTTTTAACAGAACAGGGAATACAAACTTTTAAATTAAACAGACTGTGCAGTCAAGGAAGTTTAAACATTTGATGTCTCTTTACATGAAGTGTTCAGATAAAAGTGCAAGTTACATGCAGGGAGGTGTGACTAGGGCTGCATAAACAAAGTGATTTAACTCCTAAATTGCAGAGAATTGAGCAGTGAGACTGCAGGTGCATGATCTATACACCAAAACTGCTTCATTAAGCTGAAGTTTTGGTGACTATAGTGTCTCTTTAATAACCCTGTTTATATAAGCTGCCATTCTTTAACCCCTTAAGGACACATGACATGTGTGACATGTCATGATTCCCTTTTATTCCAGAAGTTTGGTCCTTAGGGGGTTAAGAGAATTCCAATGATGTTCTATTATTTCCTGTAGTGATCAGTCTTATGCTCTTCCCTTAAAGATTTTGCCATATTATGACTGTGTAAATGTTCATATAAAAGGTGCAGTTTTTCTCTTTGATACTTTGTATACTGTTATTAACTGCCAGCAAAAATATAAATTGCAAAAAAGTACCCTTTCACTACAAACTTATCGGCATTTCTAAAACATTTGGTTTGAAGAAATCTAGCTGCAATGTGCAAGTAACATCTGGGAAACATTAATCGAAATATGTTTACTGGAGCATGAACCACACATTGCTACATTGCTAGTATAAGCCCTTGTAATAATTGAGAAATGTGTTTTAAAGGCAAAGAATGAAGAACTTTTTTTGTTTTAAATTCGAGTTGCATTAGAAATGTATGTTGAATTTTCTGTTTTATGTTGAGCGTTACATCCAGATTAATTTATTAAACCGCATATACACCCACGCTGTTGGAAAAAAACTAATTGTACAACATACAGCAAAATCATATTACTGATAAAATTATGTGTTTGCAATTCACTGAGAAAAATGGATCTAAGTTTTTTTAATTATAGCTGTAAATAGCCATACTCTCTTGCAGCTATAATTATACTCAAAACCTGCTGAGGCATATAGACCCTGATCAGTCACAACATTAAAACCAATAGCAGTTGAAGTGAATAACATTGATTATATCATTACAATGGCATCTGTCAAGAGGTAGGACATATTGGGCAATAAGTGCACAATCAGTTCTTGAATTTCATTTGTTGTAAGCAGGAAAAATAGGCAAGCGGAAAGATCTGAGTGACGAGAACAAGGCCAAATAGTGATAGACAACTGGGTCAGAGCATCTCCAAAATGGCAAGTCTTGCGAGTTATTCCCTACATGAGGTTGCTAGTAGCTACCAAAATCGGTGCAATGATGGACAACCAGTATCAGGGTCATGGGAGCCCAAGGCTCATTGATGCGCGTGGAGTGCGAAGACTGGCCCTTTTGATACGATCACACAGAAGAGCTACTATAGCACAAATAACAGAAAAACTTAATGCTGGCCATGCTAGAAATGTGTCAGAACACACAGTGCATCAGAATTTGCTGTGTATGGGGCTGAATGGTGTATAGATCAGATTACCAATGATGACCCATCTCCACCGAAAGCGCATTCAATAGAGACATGAGATGTGAGAACTGGCCCACGGAGCACTGGAAGAAGGTTCCCTGGTCTGATATATGAATCATGTTTTCTTTTAGATCAGATAGATGACCAGGTTCATGTGCGTTGTTTTCCTATGAAAGAAATAGCAGTAGAATGCACTATGGTAAGAAGGTTGTCCGTCAGAGGAAGTGATATGCTCCGTGCAATATTCTGCTGGGAAACTTCGGCTCTTGTCATTCATGTGGACATTACTTTGACACATACCACCTACCTAGAGATTATTGCGGACCATGTATGGCAATGGTGTTCCCTGATGGCAGTGGCCTCATTCAGCAGGATAATGCACATTGCCACCTTGCAAAAAGTTTTCAGGAATGGTTTGAGGATAATGAGAAAGAGTTCAAGGTGTAGCCTTGGCCTTCAAATTTCCCAGACCTCAATCCAATTGTGGGATGTACTGGAACAACAAATCTGATCCATGGAGGCTCCACCTCACAACTTATCTTGCTGTTGCTAATGTCTTGGTGCCAGTTACCACAGGACACATTGAAAAGTCTTGTTGAGTCCATACCTCGATGCATCAGATGATCACTGTATCAAACCGCTGCCCGTTCTATCGTCCACCTATACAAACGACATTCAGGATGTATGAACTACCAAACAGGGGGAGCATTTGTATCCTGAAATGAAGAAATTCCCTTGCATGGTGGTTGCACAGGAACCTCACGAACGGAGACCGGCCAGGACACCTATTTTACTGGAACTGTTTTGGGCTAGCTCCTTGTGTCTGGCCGTTCAAAACTTTACCTCAATGGCATTCCCGTTCCACCAAACCAATCTGAGTGATCTTTGAATATGTTATGCACTCAGATCGGGGCTATTGAGGAATGTACTTTTTGTGGGGTTCCTGAGTATGATGGGGCACCTTTGGGGTACGGTATATTTTGTTGGACTTTTGTACATGATAGATAATTAAATTAGAGGTTATTTCTCACGCAATTATCTCTCAGGCACAGAGGATCCTGGGATTGAAACCCCTGTTGTATTGTACTGTAAACCCCTTGTAGGGGACTGGGCATAAAAGCCGTGTGTGACCAAATAAAAATTAGTTGTTGTGGCGGAACCAGCCTCACCACTGGGGATTGGAGAAGACTGATTGCCAGCCTCCTGTCATGTGACTATGGCCCCTGGGATGTATTGCCTGCTCTCCTGTACTGTTGAGGTTTGCTACCAACTAGGTGGATTTGGCTATGGAGCTTGTCTAGTGTGCTCTGTTGGTAGCAACAGCAATATGCACTACCTGAGTAGCAAGACTGGTTCATTTGCATATTTGGGTAGATTTGCATATTGCTAATTCTGCAGGCACGTGAGATATTTTCTGTTAATTATTGTCTCCCCCACCTTTTTTAAAAATATGCCATTGTGTTATAATAAGTCACTGTATGTTGCCTGCTATGATTTGACTGTTTGTAATTTTATTGAGTTTTCGCAGCAATGTTAATGTAATGACCATATGGGCTAGTCCCAAGTAAGATAAAGTTTTAGACAGTTCTTCTTCACCCTCAACACGTAGTCTTGTCTCGTGATTGGAGAGGACAGCTATACTCACACTGGGGATTGCTATGCTCTGCATACCCTGAGCTTTAATCACTTAGCTCTTTTAAGAGCTTGACAAAAAAGAAGAAAAAATAATAAGCCAGGAAACCACCAAACATACAAATATGAAGGTAGAGACCTGCTCATTCAGTGGTCTATACCCCTAAAGTAATTGTACTTGTCATAAAGAGGGGAGAGTACAAACACAGAAGAATAAGGAAAAAGAAGAGGAGGGATAACGTGGGTATTGTACCTTTAATTGAACAGGGGATACACATAAAATAAAATAATGGAAAAAGAATCGCACTGGCTCTTAGTATGGCCAGACGGGAAGTATACCTTGTAAAAATACATATAGGGAAGTGAGGTAAAACCTCACAAATATTGAATCTAAGCTAACACAATTGCAAAGTATCGAGGACCAAAAAAGGCAGGTCACTAGAGTAATATAGGTTAATTACAAGTGTAGGTTAAACTTAGAGAATAGAGCTGCCAGAAATCTGGTCTTAGCCAATAAATCCTGCCAGAAATCTGGTAGATAGGCAGGGGGGTATTGCAGATAGAGATATAAAAGTAGAATAAGCCTTGATAGTACAGGTACCCCTAAAGGGGAGCACAGTAGTTGCTAGTGCAGGTTAGTAGGTAAAACTATGCAGAGGATTAGTCTAGGAAAGTGCCCACCTGAGCATAGAAAAGCATACAGATACTTGTAGCTTATTATCAAGAGCAAAAGGCCTCCAAGCAATGGCCTGTCCGTAACCTAAATAGCCCTGCACACACTAACTGACTCCCCTGAAATACAGGGTAACTAAGTACAATAACTGCTGCTTCAAAGGCAGCCTAGAGGCTATCCCTATCGCTTAACCCACTCACTGACCAAATAAACCCTCAAAAGAGCATCAGAAAATAAATGAATAAATAAATAAATCAAAAAAAGAAAAAACAAAAAAAGGTGAATTAAATAAGGTAAAATGAATGCATCGGCATTCTGGAATGCTCGACGCGCGTTTCGGCGTGTAAGAACGCCTTTGTCAAGAGCTACAAAGTGTCTGCCTACCTGGCCGCGTTAAGAAGGGAGGATCGGCCCGCCTCTAAAAACCTATCAGCCAATCACCGGCCTGCACTGAACATCAGACACATACCGAATTCACCATTAATCTCCTTAAGTTTATTCTAACACACAACTTCTTTCTGTTCAATAAGAAGTTCTACCACCAGGTGAGAGGTACGGCGATGGGCACGGCTTGTGCCCCATCTTACGCCAACCTCCACCTTGGTTGGTGGGAAGAACAAATCAAGACCATCAGTACATTGGCACCCTTTATGTCCAAAATTACTTCATGGTACAGGTACATCGATGATGTCCTGATCATTTGGCAAGGTGACATGGATGAATTCAATCAGTTTGTCGCTCTCCTCAATATTAACGAGGACAATCTCAGATTTACCTCAGAATTTGGGGGCCTGTCCCTGAATTTCCTTGACCTATCTATCTCAATTTGTAGAGATGGTTCCATTAAAACAACTCTCTTTAGGAAACCATCCGCATCAAACTCTCTCCTTAAGTGGGACAGTCACCATCCGAGGTCCCTCAAACAGGGCATCCCAACGGGCCAATACCTTAGGCTCCGACGGAATTGCTCTGATTTGGAGGACTTCCAAATTAAGGCCAAGTCCCTGCGCCAACAATTTAAAGACAAAGGCTACCCAAACAAATGCCTTAAGAGAGCCTATAAAAGGGCTCTGTTGACGGACAGGGTTGACCTTTTGTCTGACTCATCTAATGCCAATTCTGGCAATAAAATTATCAGGATGATTGGCACATTTGATACTGGGTGGAATGTAATAAAAGAGTCATTCCAGAAATTCTGGCCTATCCTCCTTAGAGACTCACACTTGAAAGAAGTACTGGGTCCACGAGTTACCATTACAGCTAGGAGGGGAAAAAACCTCCGTGACATGCTGTCCCCCAGTCACTTTTCCGGCAAACAGAACCTGCAGACTACTTGGCTGGGACGTCAAATACCAGTGGGCACCTTCCAATGTGGAAGGTGTGTAGTGTGTAAATTTATCCTAAGGGATTCTAAACAAGTTAAGGATAGTGAAGAAAAACAATCTTTCCAGATTGCACATTTCTTTAACTGCAACTCAGCAGGGTTGGTCTACCTCCTCACGTGTAGCTGTAAATTGATGTACGTGGGGAAGACATTTAGGCCCTTCAAAGAGCGCATTAAAGAACATGTGAGATGCACCAAAAATCGCGTAGAGACTCCCATCTCTAGACATCTTAAAGAACATCATGAGAGTTCATCTAATAATATACGTTTCTGCGGTCTTGAGCTGGTTAAGCGTGAACCTAGAAGGGGTGACTTCGATAAAATGTTGCGTCAGAGGGAATGTAGATGGATATACAAACTCAATACTCTACACCCTCGTGGCCTCAATGAAGGCTTCTCATTCTCCCCTTTTATTTGATTCTACATATGGGTATACTCTGTATGAGAATACGGGTATACCTTATTTTCTCCGAGTGTTCCTTATGTCTGCAAAATTGAGAGTAACCTGGGATATTTAATTTTGAACCTTATACATAGCCGCTCTCTAAGTTACGATCTGGGTTCTTAATATCTCTTTAGGTCATGTTGTGCTGTTTTTTACCACTAATGTGATGCTTTTCTGTACTTATATACTTCACTGAGGGTATTTTTTACACACACTATTCTGCTTCTCTTCCAATTTTGTTTTTATCATTATTATTAT